ACACACACACACACACACACACACACACAAGTTCATGCACACATACGCACGCACACGCACGCCAAGTCTCTCGCTTGCTGTCACAGGTGCGGCAAATGGTGCGCTAAGGGAGCTATCACACTTCACACACACACAGGCACGCGCGCGCGCGCAGACGAGGGGGAGGAAGATGAAAACAGGAGGGAAACTCAATAAAACGGCGGCGAGGAAAAGCAAGCTTTTGATTGTGTGTGTGTGTGTGTATGCGCGTGCAAGTGCGTAGAGACGCAATCGCCACAAATGCAAATGCACTCATGGCACGGCTCTAAATCAAGTCTTTTACAGAGAACAAAGAACAAGCTCGTCCCGTCTGCGTAGAAAATAACCATTTGTGAGGAGCGGAGAAACTAGACAAAATGTCTGGAGGTGTAAAGATACCGGCTGGAGAAAAGGAGAGAGAGAGAGAGAGACAGAGAGATTGGGGGGAAGGGGGGTAACGTCGGCTTGTTTTCGGATTTGGTCGTGGGGTTGTTGATGGCTTGGTGGGGTGCGAGGAGGGGAGGGGGTAGTTCTTACGGGGCGTGTACACGCGTACGTACGATGTACGTGATCGGCCTGCGCACCCCCGCTCCCCTACCCCTGCTCATAGCACCGTCAGCGTAAGCATAAGGAGGGGCCGGGGATGTCAGCTGTCCAGGCCGTAAACTCCCTGAAGGTCTTTGCCAAGTTCTAGGGTGGAGAACGGGCCAGACACACGCACAGGAACGAGAGAGCGAGAAAGCGTCCGAAGATAAACAGAGAGAGAAAATCGGCATCTGTGGTCTGATGTGTCCCTGGAGGATGGCGATCCACCCCGCTAGGCCAGAACAGCCCTTTCGAAGGGAGATCCACTGCACATGTATACATACGAGTCTTGCTTTCCGCACACGAATCTACTTTGCTGTTCATGACGACACTCCCGCTCGCCGAATATTTACACGTTGTCTGTCTGTTTCCAGGATGCTGGGGATGCACGGCTCCTCCGCGGACCTGAACCCGCTGAGCAGCCACAGGGACAACTGCCTCAAGCTCAACTACCTGGCGGAGCGACAGCAGCAGCTCTGTGGCCTCAGCGAGAACGTCCTCACGGTGAGCGGGGATGGGACATTACTCGGGTGGTCCGCACACGGCGCCTGCGGCATAGGCAACCGTCCTCCTGCGAACGCACGATAGGCCACCCGCTACACG